CCTCCTCCTGCTGCTGCTGCTGCTGCTGCTGCTGCGTCTCTTGTTGTTCCTGTTGCTGCACCTGCTGCCAACCCCCATCCAATATCGACCCTGCTGGTGATGATGCTGCTTCCGCCATGGGTGGCACGGGAACAGCCGGTGATGCACTCTCTGAGGCGGAAGACTGAAGGGGAAAGGCCGAGGCAGGGGCCATGGGAAGATCAAGAGCCTCCCTCACCTCCCACTCACTCACATACCCACTCCCACTCCTCTCCGCATACGAGTCTCCTTCCATATTCACCCACCAGCACCCCTTTCCACCCCCAGCGCTGCAGCTCCCACCACTTTCGCCTCTATAAACAGCTCCTCCAATACTGTGCATTATCATCTGGATTATAGATTGTGCAGCCCTCCTGATCCCATCTGCCAGGCTGGCAGGTACATCTGCACACATCTGCCACGCGCGTTTCTGACACGCCCAGCCAACCACGTCCCTCTCCAGGGCTGCCACTTGTCGGTCCACGATTGGGTCGGGGACGCACGCAGGGGAGGACGAGACAAGGGCATACCACCAGGTGATCTTTCCTCCGCTGTTACTGTCCTCAAGCCCCCTGCTGGTACTGCCACTGCCAATGCTGCTGCCACTGCCACTGCCACTGCCACTGCCACTGCCACTGCCGCTGCTACTGCTGCTACCGCTGGTTTGTCTGTAACTGGCACCCAGTCGGCTGTGATCTGACGCACGGGTGTAGCGGGGACGGTTGTAGCCTGAAGCAGGGCTGTAGCTGGGAAGGCACTTGGCAACGCCCTTGGAGCATTCAGCATGGTCTGGGCACGGCCGGCAGCGAACAACAGAGGCCGAGTCGGGGGGAGCAGAGGACGGAGAGAGAGAATACAGAGGGGAACGATGAGCAGGAGAGACGGCAGGTGGATGCGCGACCGTGGAAAGAAACAGAGGCTCCTGCTGCTGCGACAGTACCGACTGTGACACTGACAGTGAATCGGATTCCCTGAATGTGGATTCTAGGCGGCTGTGGGGTGTTTTGCCATGGCTGTCACAGAAGGGGAGCAAGCGGTGCTCCAGAGACTGGATGAACGCCCAGGCAGAGGAGTACACGCCTGCTGCCACGCCCACCATCGCCACCAGCTGCACTGCCTGCAGCAGCACCATGTGCACCGACCAGGACCACGTGCCACGCCTTTCCTTTGTGTTTCTTCTCGCCTGCTTGCTCTCTTTTTTCTGCCTGGCTGACTGCATTGACTGCACTGACTGCCCTGACCAGCTGAACCAGCCTAGGACTTCCCTTCTTCCCCGACCTGCTGCTGTTGCCAGGGGAGGCGACGAGACTGGAGGGATGGCAGGGTGAGACGCTGGGAAGTGGAGCTGTCGGGGAAGAATGGGCGAGGCACGAGGAGCAGCAGCGTTCCCAACAGAGGGAAGGACGCCTGGCATACCCGCAGCAGCAGCATTTCCCTTTGGGGAGATGACGGGAGGTGCCATCGATGCTCCTGCTGTTGCAGCAGACAATGATGCCGAAGGCGATGCTGACGATGGTGCTGTTGATGATGACGTTGAGGTGCGGGTGGATGCCGTCCCTGTCCATGACGTACGGCGACTCGCCGGGCCTCTTAGTCTCCGAAAAAAGGCCAGGAAAAGAGACAGGAGGAAGGAAAGGAAGGAGGAAAGCAAGAGCCAGGGAAAAAACATACTCGCTGCGACCCCGCCTGCCACTTCCTGACCTCGCATCCAACGCCAGGTACCATTCTGGGTCTCTGCATTGCCAGCTCCACCTGCACATGCATCCCCATCTGCACTTGTCTCTCCACCACTAATTCCTCCATCACTCCCTGCCCAAATTGATCCACGCACATGACGCCTGTGCTGTTCTGTGTCGGGATTCGGTCCCCTGTTGTGTCCGTGAGGCCGGAGGTTCAGGTTGAGGACACCTGCACCTGCATCCCCACCTGCACTAGCATCTCCACCATTGCTTCCTCCATCACTCCCTACCCATGCTGATCCACGCACATGACGCCTGTGCTGCTCCCTGTCAGGATTAAGACCCTTGGTGCGTCCATGAGGAGGGATGCGGGGGAAATCGAGAGCAGAGAAGAAGGATACGGTGTCTGAATCCTCCTCTTTCTGTTGGAGCTGCTGGTGCTGCTGCTGCGGCTGCTGCTGACGCCACTGGTGCTGTTGGGTTCCCTGCTGCTGTTGCTGCTCTTGCTGCTGTTCCCCGGGCTGAAACATGTGCTCAATCTTATCATACACACCAGCGCCTGCTTCCTCCTCCCTCTCCCGCCGTCCCTGCATCAAAGAGCTGTCCCACCACCCCCACCACCAACACCTTTTGTTTGTATTCCCCCCCTGGTCTCTCTTCACTTCCCATGCTTCAGGCGTTCCCTCAGGTGTTTCCCAAAATTCAGCAGCCGTTTCGCCAGGCGTTGGCACCACTGTAGCTCCTCGTGCCGCTCCTCCCTGTGCTCCTGCTGCTGCTTCTGCTCCTGCTGCTGCTTCAGCCCCTGCTACAGCTTCAGCCGCTCTCTTATTCCCTGCTGTAAAACACGCGCTCCCTGCTGTGGAAGGTGTCGACTTCCCCTTGACCTGCTGCCTCACCCGACGCTCCAGGCCCTCCGCATACCGAGGCTCGCCAGAGGGAACAGAAAAAAACGCATCATCATAAGCCGATCCCGTGGGAGGCGTGAAGGGCGTGTTCAGTGGCGCGCGCGTGTCAGGCGAGCCCATGGGAGGCGAAAAGAGCGTATTCAGTGAACCAAGCTGCGGAGAGGTGAAGGAGATGGGAGCGTCAGGGGAAGCAAGCAGCGGAAGAGCCATTCGAAGGTAGTAGGCGCGCTTGTGCTCTCGCGGGGAGAGATCCACGCCTTGCTCGAGAAGCCATTGCTTCAGCTGAGCCACGCTCATGGATCTTAGCTCCTGCTCCCGCGCGTACCGACGCTCCTGCTGCTGGTCATGCTGCTGCTGTTGATGCTGCTGGGGCTGCGGTTGCTGCTGGTCGTGTCGCTGTTGCCGCTGCTGCTCTTCCTGAAACCATCTCCCTGATTCACCGACAGCAACAGATGAACCCGGCGCCGTCGGATCTTGTCCCGGAGGTCCATTGCCAGCCGTTCGATCGTAACCCGCATCTTGTTCAACACGATTCGTCCTTAGCCAATCTAGAGCGATCTGAAGGTAATATCGACGGTGGTGATCGCGAGGAGAGAGAGACACACCGCGCGAAAGGAGGAAATTCTTCAGCTCGCTGATCCGCATACCTCGTATCTCCTGCTCTGAAACGGGCGGATCGCTCCCGTTCTCGGCCTGAGGGCGTCGGTAAGCGTCAAATCCAGCGTCAGGGGGTCGAAAAGGGTCCATTTTTTTCCGAAATTCCGGTCATGCCAGAACAAAGTGTAGCGACGAACGACGAACCTATATGTGTCAATCGATCTTAATAGCTACTACCTATCGCGTCAGACGTGTGCAGAGGAACCTAGCACGAAAACGTTCTCGCGTCGCGTAATACCTTGTGTCAGAACTACGTCTGAAGAAATCCACTGCGAACGACCGAACTATTTTGCGTCAATAAAACTCTGTTTATATATTTGTTCCAATCTGTCCGTACAAACCAACCACTAACCCTACGCTAACTCTACCGACAGGGTTCCTCGTATCAATGCAACGACGTTCACTAGGCTAGAGAAACACAGAAACCGGAAGCACTCGTGACTGATTGGGAAAGTCCACCCAAAACCAAAACCAAAACCAAAATCACAAATGGCGAACATTGGGGTTGTCGACTTCTGATCTCATCAACATAGAGGAAGCGTAATGGAGACGAGAGGAAGACGCAACAAAAGCATAACGAAAATGCCCCAGCTGGGGAATTGAACTCAGGACCTTGCACTTACGAAGCGAACGCACTACCGCTGTGCTACTGAGGCGAGAGATCTAAAAACAAGAAACTTCAACATTTGTGTACCCATAATCCAAATTCATCCTCAAGGAATTTACGTCCAAGGCAGGCTTTGCAGTGAACGTGGAGGACAACACCCCTCACATGAAGGTTTTCAAGTGCGACAGCATGCACATCCGGAAGTGATATGACAAACATAGGCTGGAGGACCGTCGGTGCTAATGGGCGAGAGGGGACAGCCACGAGGAGGGTTGCAGCACAGCCGCAGCAGAAGCGATGTCAGGCTGGGCAAGGGGTTGGTGGGCGCAAGGGACATCAGGAAGGGCAGGCCAGTAAAGGAGAGGAGGGGGGACAGAAGGGCAGGAGGGCCAGCGGGTGCATGAGGGGCTTTAGCCCCAGAGGGTGCTGCCTTTGGGTTTGAAGTCAGGCTCAGGGGCAGGGAGGGGGCGAGAGCAGGTGACTGAGGACATGGCTACGGTGGAATTGAGGGGTTGGGAAGGGCGGGGTTGAGGGAGATAGAGGAAGATAGGATGAAGGGGGTGGGCGGTTTGGGGAAGTGGAAATGGGGAAGGGGGAATGAGCAAGTGGGAGGGGGAGAGGATCAGAGGACAGGGGCGATGAATCAGGATGAACAGAGGGACAAGGCACAGCAGCAGCCAATACAGCAAAAGAGGCCGACCGGATTGCACGGACAAGCCGCATAAGGTTACCAGCCTGCATTCCAAGCCTGACTTGCGGTGATGCATAGCATAATTAAATGGTTACAGTGGATGTCTTCATTACAGATATACGACAGTAGAGAAATGCTAGGTTGGCCCCTAATTTGGTGCCGCATCGGCTAGAAACGTACAGGAAAAACTACGGGATTAGTGACCATGCTTAGGAAGGTTACAGCCACCTCCACATTTATTTCTATGCGTGAGTGACGTAGACTTTTGGGTTACTCATTGAGCTGTTGAGGTAGTTTCTGGGACTGTGTGCACGGTGGTTGGCACATTGGCGGAGGGGAGGAGGAGGTGGGACAACAGATCGGCACTGATATTCAAGACAGGACCCACTACACGTCTCTTTGTGGTACTGCAGTGCATGAAGGATGAGAGTATCACACGGCATATGGTGCGGCATTGGGAGGATCTAACAATGATAAATGCCTGCACTAGTCCCATTAGGTACTGGGTAGGGCAGTTGGCATCATAGAAAAGTTGGTTATGTCGAAGAGAAAGGCCCCGCCCTCGCTTGGGCGCAGCCGATCTCGCCGTCGACGAGAAGTTCGCGACGGATTGGTCGACGAAATGGGCTTCTGCAGTTCGACGGAAGTTGCGGTCGAGCAGGCTCTGCTCGACGGAATCTGGTCGACGAGCTCTGCGCGACGAGCTCTGGTTGACAATCTCTGCGCGACGATCTCCTTCCGAAGAGCGCTGGTCGAAGAACTCTGGTCGAAGAGTTCTGGTCGACAAGCTCTGCTCGGCGAACGCTGTTCGACCGAGCAGAGTCGAGCTGATCGACCGAAGTTGCAGAGTTGTGCGAAACTCTGCGGGAGCGGGCGAACTTTCGCCTAGGAGATTTTGGCGAAGAACTACCTGCGGAACAGAAACACGGACACGTTTTCTACCTGGCACCTGCGCAATATGCCTGACGGTGAAACTGCCAACTTGCACCTACTTGGTAGGTGCGCACATCTGCGCAGATAGACAACCTGCGACTGCAGGTAGTTACCTGCGACTACAATGCTGGCAGACTGCGCTCAATGCAACGCTGGCAGACTACTCTGCTGCAGCGTTGGCAAGCCGCTCTTCTGCTGCGCTGGCAGATTTCGCCCTTGCTAGGTGTTGCATGTCATTCTAGTCACATCCTTCTGCATGCCTCAATTCTAGTCATCTTTGCTATCAAGTTTTCGTTGCAAGTTCCTTAGTGGAATTCTAGCCAATTTTCTCTGTGAACACAAGCAAGAAATAAAAACGCTACTAGAGCGCTACGATCACTCACACAACCACGTGCCCTTTTCCGTAGTCCACTCCCATTGTGTAGTGACTCTCCACAGGTTATGTTCGGACTTCCACCTGAAACATACAATTAGTCAGTGCAACACATTGTGTTTACCAGATATAAAAATTCTAACCGTTCAGGCACTGCGGAAGTAAAGAAATCGTTAGGGTCGTAAGGCAAGTATACGCTTGCTAGCAATTTCAAAAGGAGAAGCATTGGCAAGGAAAGTGCCCCAGCTGAGGATTGAACTCAGGACCTTTCGCTTACGAAGCGAACGCACTACCACTGTGCTACTGAGGCCGAAGATGTGATGAACTAAAAATTACTAGTTTTTTTTTGCTTTGGTGCTTCCTCTTTCCTTCGCGTTGCCGTGCCGCCCAATACGCGCTCCCGTTGCGTCCCCATCACTCAACTAGGCCATCCGAATCCGTGGTCAGAGGGGTGGTCTCAACAAGCTCTCACATAATTTCTAGTCGAGCCTACTGGGAGCTGACAGATCGATTGCTTGGAAGCCTGCAAGCCTTGCATTTGACAGGCGTTAGTGTGTTTACCACTGTGCGTTACGAGGTGCTGTGTCACTTAGTCAGGCTCCACGTCTCCTTCCGTTTCTTGAACGTGACCACATTCTTCATATTTTCTCACCATACCTTAGCTAACCAAATTCTTCCTGGAGTTCACTCGACTTTCGTCTCCGCTTCTCCGCCCGTCAACTTCCATGGCGGACGGCTCCGAGATTCCATCGTCGTGTTTATTCGTCGCTTGCATTCCGCAGTCGCAGGTCAGCTTTTGCCCAGTCACCCTTGTTATGGTGTAACGCATTATCGATATGCATTGTAGATATTTAGATTTTAAATTATGTATTGTAACGTTCCGTGTGTGGATGTTGCAGGTGGGAATATTTGAGAGATGGGGGAGATTCACCCATGTCGCAGAGCCCGGGATGCACTGCTTCAATCCCCTCGCTGGGACTTGGTTGGCGGGAAAATTGTCGCTCCGCGTGCAGCAGCTAGACGTGCGCTGCGAGACTAAAACGAAGGTAAAATTCTTGCAGGACAATGTGTTCCGTCAACTACCTAGTGATGAAGGACCATGCAAAAATCAAATGTCGCTTGAAATTCGTTGTTCCACTTTGGTTTTTCGTGCAGGACAATGTGTTTGTGACGGTGGTGTGTTCCGTCCAGTACCGGGTGATGAAGGACCATGCAGACGATGCGTTCTACGAGCTCCAGAACCCTCGCGAGCAGATCCAGTCCTACGTCTTTGATGGTATGCAGGGTTGCGTGAGCTCTCAGAAATAGTTTCGATCTGCCCTAGATAATGTCCCAAAAGTTTTGATTCTGAGACGTCTCAAAGCCTCGGATTCTCGCAAGCAGATCCAGTCCTATGTCTTTGACGGTATGCATGGTAGGAAGCGGGTGTGTGAGGGGCGCTCTGCTGGTTTTGATTTCAGTTGTCTTGCACTTTTGGTTTCCTTTCTTTGAAGTTTTGCAGTGGACGGTTGTGCACCAGCTGACTCTCTGTACTTGTCTTGTCGTGGGTATGCATGTGTGTGTGCATGTATATGTGTGTGCGCGCACGCGTGGGCACGCATGTGCATGTGTGCATGTGTGCATGTGCATGTGCATGTGTGTGCGCGTCGCTCGCATACATGCTTGTGTGCGTGCGTGGCGGTGGTGGTGGGATGAGGTGACGGGATGGGTGTGCGCGCATTTTGTTACAGTGGTGCGAGCCAGTGTGCCTCGCATTGAGCTGGATAAGGTGTTTGAACAGAAGGACGAGATTGCTAAGAATGTGGAGGAGGAACTTGAAAAGGTAAACATGGTCCAGCAGGTCTGAAGGGTTGATTCTGAGTGGGGTGGGGATGGTTCTTCATGCATGTAACCTACCGCCCTAGTTGCACAGTGTCTTGTATCTCCTCATTTGGTTACCTCCCCTTAGTGACATGTTCGTTTGCTTACAATTTGACATGCACTAAACATCACCTGTTACCCGTTGCTAAAATTCCTCTACAAGTTTGACTGCTATGTTGGTGCTGCACTGTTGTTCAGGTGATGAGAGCGTATGGCTACACCATTCAGCAAACCCTTATTGTGGACATTGAGCCTGATGCGACCGTTCGGAAAGCCATGAACGAAATCAATGCTGGTAAAGCCATAGCTTAGTGCTTACTCACCTGCGCAATCTTGGTTTGTTTGCCATGTGTGAGGCTGGCTTCACCTCTGTTTTGACATAATTCTACAGCATGCTCTGCTTGTTTTGTGGTTGGTTTCTTTCTTTCACTGATTATTGTTCTTTCCCGTTTCACCTCAACGCGAGCAGCTCAGCGCATGCGCATGGCAGCGCAGGAGAAGGCAGAGGCTGAGAAGATCCTTCAAGTGAAGCGTGCCGAGGCTGATGCCGAGGCGAAGTACCTCTCTGGTGTTGGTGTGGCTCGCCAGAGGCAGGTTCGTACGGAATGAAAGCCAAACTCGCCTATTTGCCCAGTTGTGCTGTTTTGTCATTGCAGCATACTGATCCATTCTGTCCATTGTGACACCCACCCATGCAGGCAATTGTGGATGGGCTTAGAGAGAGTGTCCTCGCATTTTCACATGAAGTGGCGGGAACTACACCCAAGGATGTGTTGGATTTGGTGCTTGTAACACAGTATTTTGACACAATGAAGGATATAGGAGCGTCCGCCAAGAGCAACACTGTGTTCATTCCACATGCGCCGTCTCAGATTGCTGACATTTCTGCGCAGATTCGGAATGGGATGCTGCAAGGAAACATCAAGCAGGAATAGAGGGTTACCGTACGGTGGTATCGGGTGTGTAGTGTGCGCAGGATGTGTACAGTTCCAGCGAGTACTCAATACAGTAGGTCAGTGCATCACCTTCATTCATCTCAAAGAACCATTTGCACTAGGTTGGTGGGGGTTGGGGATAGGATGACGACAAATGGCTTACAGGTTATGAAGACACTATGGCTGTATGGTAAATTCAATTTTCAGATTAAATTATGTCAAAATTTACAAGGGGTCCCGCACTCATCCGTATTGGATACTCCTAAAAGGCGACCCCCACAAGGGAAGAAGCACCCGAATTGAACTCGGTAACACAGGGAAAGGGCCCTACGCGGGCAGAAGAGGGTTTGCTGGCGGCTACTTTTCCAGGCCGTCATCCGCGGGGCAATGCCCTGACACTGGGGGTGCCTTCTTCAGCGTCCGAGAATTTTTCTCATTGCCTCACATCAGTTGCTATGGTCCGACCATGGCCGATTGGAGCAAAGAGCGAGCAGAAAAGGGATCTGGTCGGACCCAAACCAGCATGCAGGCGTTGCCCGTCCAGGGTCCTGGCTAGTTCGCTTCACCTGCCTGCTTCGCGTCGCAAGACCCTAGTCGCGTCCCCATCACTCTACGTAGCCACGCAGAGGCCAGGGATGCATGGGACTCCCATCGCGTCAGTGCGCTTTTGGAGGCGACTCGGGAGCGGCTCTTGGCGTGAATCTCAGAAGCTTGCACGGTTCTTACCTGGTAGTAGCGACTGCCTTCGCATCACAGATAAAAAGGGGCTGTCTCTTAGCCAGGCTCCCACGCTTCGTTTTGCTTCTAATACCGTTGTTAGTACGTGACATATTGTTCCTTGCGCTGACATATTTCGAGTCTAGCTAACCGATTTCCTGCTGGGTCCTTCTCGACTCTCGTCTCCGCTCCTCCGCCCGTCAACTTCCATGGCGGACGGTAGCAGCTCTGAGCTTCCATCGTCGTGTGGCTTCTTCGCTTGCATCCCGCAGTCGCAGGTCAGCTTATCATCCTTGTTATGGTGTAACTCATTATCGATGAGCATCGTAAACGTATTCATCGTTGAATTCTATGTTATCGTTCGTGGATGTTGCAGGTGGGAATATTTGAGAAATGGGGGAGATTCAGCCACGTGGCAGAGCCCGGGCTACACTGCTTTAATCCCCTCCTTGGGACTTGGATGGCGGGAAAATTGTCTCTTCGCGTGCAGCAACTAAAACGAAGGTAAATTGCTTGAATTTTTCTGCGTGTCATGATTTCGTGCTTCATCCGCCTTTTTAAGCTAGACGCGTTCTTTTACGTTTGGGAAAATCTGGTGATGGAAAAACAGACCAATCTGAATCGTTGTTTGCTGCACATCGTTCCACAACGGTTTTTTTCTCGCAGGACAATGTGTTTGTGACGGTGGTGTGTTCCGTCCAGTACCGGGTGATGAAGGACCATGCAGACGATGCGTTCTACGAGCTCCAGAACCCTCGCGAGCAGATCCAGTCCTACGTCTTTGATGGTATGCAGGGTTGCGTGAGCTTCGAGGGATTTCAGAGTTATTGACTTTCGGTAGGTCTCAAAAGACTTGCCAAAAGTTTAGAGCTTGAGACGTCTCGAAGCCTGGATTCTCGCGAGCAGATCCAGTCTGATGTCTTTTATGGCATGTAGGGTAGCAAGGGGTGTGCAAGGCGCTTGCTCTGTTGGTCTTGATTTCATCCTTCGTTGTCTTGCAACCTGAGGTTCCTTCCTCTGACGTTCCACAGTGGATGGTTGTGCACTAGCTGAACTCGTGTACCTGCCTTGGTGTTGGCCTGCATGTATGTGTCGATGTGAACGTGTGTGCGCGCATGTGTGGGCATGCATGCGTGTGTGCATGTATGTGTATGTGCGCTGCACGCATTCATGCTTGTGTGCGTGTGTGGTGGTGCGGGGGTGCGGAGTGGGTGTGCGCATTTCACTACAGTGGTGCGAGCCAGTGTGCCGCGCATTGAGCTGGATCAAGTGTTTGAGCAGAAGGACGAGATTGCCAGGAATGTGGCAGAGGAGCTTGAAAAGGTAATCTCAATGCATGAGTGGGGTTGGTTACCTTATGCGGATTGCAGATTGCTGGGTGGGGTTGGTTACCTTATGCGTGAAACCTACTGTCCGACTGGCCAAGTGCCTTCTACCATTCCTTCTGCTCGTTCACCTCCGCTTTGTCTCAAACTCCTTGCTTACAAGTCCCATGCTTCTCAAATATCCCTGCTGCTTTGCTGCTTCTAAACTTTGCGGTGCTGATGTTACAGGTGATGACAGCGTATGGCTACACCATTCAGCAGACGCTCATTGTGGACATTGAGCCTGACACCACCGTGCGCAGAGCCATGAACGAAATTAATGCTGGTAAAGCCATACCTCGTTACGCACTGACCTGCTGAAGTATCTCTGTTTCGTTTTGTGAGGCTGGCGGCACCTCTGTTTTTACTTCCTTTTCATAGCACATGCTCTTCTTCTATTTCCTCCGTTTTTGCGTCCTTGTTTTCTTCTTCTGTTTTTGCTCTGTTTCCTGTACTTTCTCGGCCCAATGCGAGCAGCTCAGCGCATGCGCATGGCAGCACAGGAGAAGGCAGAGGCTGAGAAGATCCTTCAAGTGAAGCGTGCCGAGGCTGATGCCAAGGCAAAGTACCTCTCTGGTGTTGGTGTGGCTCGGCAGAGGCAGGTACGTATTCCATGGAAGCCATGCTGCTACACTCCTCATGAAGCCAGTTCAATGATTGTCTTTTTCTGCGGAATGTTGTTGCTACATACTGAGCTATTGCTCGATTTCCCGTGTTGCCCTCCCATGCAGGCGATTGTGGATGGGCTGAGAGAGAGCGTCCTCGCATTCTCGCATGAAGTGGCGGGAACAACTCCCAAGGACGTGTTGGATATGGTGCTTGTAACGCAGTACTTCGACACAATGAAGGATATAGGAGCCTCAGCCAAGAGCAACACGGTGTTCATTCCACATGCCCCTTCTCAGATTGCCGACATTTCTGCGCAGATTCGGAACGGGATGCTGCAAGGAAACATCAAGCAGGAATAGATGGTTTGGACGTGTTGTGGCTGTGGTGTGTGCAATGAGGGAATTGCGGTTTTGCTATGTGTACAGTTCTGCTTCTTCCCGCGGCAATGTGATATTTGTCAGAGGTCCACTGGAGATCCCCGATGATCCTAGGGAAGGGTTACAGGCATGTTGGCCTGGGGGGTTATGGGCGCACTCATCCGCTACACAAACAAGCCCTTTTATCCCAGTGGTTAGTGACTGAGATTCTGACATGGTATCAGAGCGAAGGTCTCGGGTTCGATTCCCGGTGTGTGCACTTCGGGCATCCCAGTGCGGGGGGGTGTCAGAGGTCCACTGGAGATCCCCGATGATCCTAGGGAAGGGTTACAGGCATGTTGGCCTGGGGGGTTATGGGCGCACTCACTCTCAGAATACTAGCGTAAGAATGATGCATTGAAAGAAACAGTTGGGTACAAGTAGCTAACCCTAGTTGGGTTTGTACCCTGTATTGGCTACCCCACTACAGCCTACCCACATATATATAACACATTACAACTTAACACACCCCCATAGGCAAAGTGGGGGAGAGCAAAGGCCACAAGGCCAGTTCACATGCAGTGCTAGATATAGAACAGGACAAGCAGCAAGATATATATAAAGTACAGTACAAAGAAAGTCAAGCAGTAAGCAAATGAGGAAACGTGGACACAAGGCCTAAAGAAGTACAGTGCCGCTGATGATCACTAGGCGGGAGTGCCTTGGTGAAGATATCAGCAGTGTTGGCCTTCGAGTCCACGTACACAAGCCGAAGCTGACCGCGCTGCTGAAGCTCTCGAGCAAGAAAGTAGCGAAGAGCAATGTGCTTCGTCCTGTGCTCCAGTCTGTGCTCCTGACACAAGGCAAGGGCCGCCTTGTTGTCACCGTACAGAACTGGAGGAGAACTAGGCCGCTCTCCCAAGTCAGTCAGCAGGTAGGTGAGCCAGCGTAACTCCTGTGCAGCCATGGCCGTGGCGTAGATCTCAGCCTCACAACTAGAGCCGAGAACAGAAGAAGAGCGGGTGGACCGCCACGAGACAGAACCAGAGCCAAGGCTGAAGGTGTAACCCTGTGACGACCGCTGCGTAGCCAGGTCGTCCACCCAAGAAGCGTCCGAGTGACCAGTGAGGACAACTCTGTCGCGTCCTCCAAGCACCAGCCCCATGCCTGATGTACTGCACAAGTAACGCAGCACCCTCTTAGCAGCCTCCCAGTGCTCTCGCCTGTGTCTCCCAGGCGCAACGTAACGAGCAAGGATGCTAAGAGGGTACGCGAGGTCAGGTCGCGTGCAAGTCATCAGGTACATGAGGCAGCCTACAAGCTCTGGGTACGGGCCACTCGGCTCTACGGACTCGTCCGAAGGTGGAGCTGAGAGCGAGTGGCTGGTAGCCAGAGGTGTGGCCTGTGGTGAGGAGAACTGGAAGCCGAAGCGCTGAAGGACCTGCTGCACCATGTGTGACTGAGTCAGGGTGATGGTGCGGCGTGCTCTGTCCCGGGTGATCTGCAAGCCAAGGTAGCTACGCAGCTCACCCAGGTCAGTGCAGGTGTGTCTCTTCTGCAGCTCCGACTTCACACGAGCGAGTGCCTCAGTGTCAGCAGTAGCAAAAACCAAGTCGTCGACGTACACGAGGATGTAGAACGGCGGCAGCGACGTGTCTGTGCGCAGGAACAGTGACGGGTCAGCAGTGGAAGGAGCAAACCCAAGGGCCGCAAGTGTAGTCCTCAGTGTGTCGTGCCACTCGCGCGGTGCCTGGCGGAGACCGTAGACTGGCCGCCGGAGGCTCCACTGGGTACCAGGAGGAAACGACCCAGTAAAGCCAGGTGGGCGGCGCAGCCAGATCTCCTCGTGCAGGCTGCCCTGCAAGAACGCTGTGCTGAAGTCAAGAGAGTGAAGCTCGTAGTCACGCTGAGCAGCAACGTGCAGCAGAACCCGAAGAGTGGTCATCTTCGGGGTGGGGGAGAAGGTCTGAAAGAAGTCAACCCCCTGACGCTGACTGAAGCCTCTAGCAACGTAACGAGCCTTGAAGACAGGTGGAGAACCTGGCGGCCGCTTCACCCTGAAAATCCACATGCCATCGACGATGTTCGCCCCAGGAGGGGGAACCTCGTCGACGTAGGTGCCTGTGGACTTCCAGGATGCCATCTCTGCGTCCATGGCTGTCTGCCACTGAGAGGAGTAGGGACCCGAGATCGCCTCTGCGTAAGAGCGCGGAGTGGGGATGTCTAGTGCATCCGGGTCTCCCTCAGGGGCAAGCAGCCAGGCCGTGAGATGAGGTACAGCAGCCGCAAGAGAGTCAAAGTCCTCCTGCCTGTCCTTAAGGACGTCCGTGCCAAGAGCACACTCACCCCCGACGGACGGAGGACAGACAGACTCAGACCCAGCAACAAGACTGGCGGCGTAGTCTAGACGACAGGCAGCAGCAAAGTCGACAAGCTCAGCGACCAGGGCAGACGCAGCAGAAGACTCAAACGACGGGTCAGTGACAACAGTGGCGAGAAGACGCGTAACAGTAGGGTGGGCAGCACGAACACTGTCAGACTCAGGGTCGGGAACCTCAGGAAGAGAAGACGCAGGAGGAGACGGTAGGGGGACACGCTGTGGACCAGTGGAAGGACGAAGGGCCATAATATGCGTGCCAGGAACAGGAGGAGGACGCGGACGCGCGACACGACGACCAGTGGGACCAGTGCGCGCAGTGCGAGCAGTGCGAGCAGCACGAACAGGCGAGGCAGGACGAGAGACAGGCGCACGACGCTCCGTAAGCGAGTCCGGCTGTGCAGTGTAAGGCACAGGAGCAGGGAGGGGGGAGCCAGGCTGGAGAGGAAGGCCAGTGGAAGACGGGAGGGAAAGAACCTGGCGAAGCACCGTGTCAGGCGGTGGCAAAGCCGACGGCGACGGTGGAGCGAAGAACAGGCGCGACGGCGGAGCTCCGCCAGCACCTCCAGCACCCGCAGCACCAGAAGCACCAGGACCAGCACCCCCCGCCGCAGCACCCCCAGAGCCGGCGACGTCAGCACCAGAGGCCTCAGCAGCGGCAGACCTCCCCTCGCCAGCACCTCCAGAGCCAGCAGGACCAACGTCTCCAAGACCGTCAGCTCCAGTGTCGTCAGCTCCAGCACCTCCAGGAAGAGCACCCCCAGCGCCGGCAGCGCCAACTCCGCCAGTACCGCCAGCCCCAGAGGCCCCAGCTCCAGCAGCTCCAGCCTCAGTGCTCCCAGAACAACCAGCCCCGGCAGCTCCAGTACCTCCAGTACGAGCACCTCCAGGACGAGCAGCTCCAGAACCGCCAACTCCAGCAGGGCCACGAGGACGGCGAAAGCGCCGGACGTACCAGTCACGAAGCTGCTGCGGTGTGAGAGACGGCTCAGCACCCCGAACCGGAGCACCCCCAGACGCAGCAACCCCAGGCTCCGTAGGCTCAGTCGCAGCACCCCCAGGCTCAGTACCCTCAGGCGCAGCACCCCCAGGCTCAGCACCCCCAGACTCAGTACACCCAGGCTCCGTACACGCAGGCTCAGCACCCCCAGTCGCAGCACCCCCAGGCTCAGCACCCCCAGGCTCCGTACGCTCAGGCACCGTACCCTCAGCTCCAGCACCCTCAGTCCCAGCACCCGCAGCCCCAGCACCCCCAGGCCCAGCACCCCCAGGCTCAGCACTCCCAGCAGCACCACCCGCAGCAGCACCTGAGTCACCTGTGACCTCGACAGGCTCAGCGACGGGAGGAGGGTCTACCTGAGAGACACCTGAAGGAGCAGGACCATGAAGGGGGAGGGGGTCTACCGGAGGGGGACCAGGAGCAAGGAAAAGCGGCGGGGGAGGGAGGGGGGCAGTGCGGTAGGGGAAGAGACGGTAAAAAGGGACCGACTCGTCAAAGGTGACGTCCTGAGAGGCGAAGACCCGGCGCGAGGTGGGGTGGTAAAACTGCCAGCCAGGCGCGTCAGGGACAAAGCCAAGGAAGACACAGGGAAGCGTGCGGGAGGAGAGCTTGTCCGCGGACGTATCGCGGACAAGGGCACGAGCACCCCACACCCGGAAGCGCGACGCATCGCCAACCTCCCCCGTCCAACGCAGTGTGGGCGAGGTCTCCGGCAAGGAGACACGGGGCCAGAGGTTGAGCTGATGCGCAGCGTACCGGACAGCAAACGGCCACAGAAAATGGGGAGCCGCCGCATGGACCAAGGAGGTACGAGCGACCTCCATGACCAGGCCAATGCGGCGCTCAGCAACCCCATTCTGCTGCGGGGAGTCCGGAAGCGTGAAGGTCTGCTCAATGCCCTCCGCCTGACAGAAGGTCCTCAAGAGGTCGGAGGAGAACTCACCACCTCTGTCAGAGTGCAGACGCAGGACAGGAAGGTCTGTCCGGAAACGGCGGCGGAGCTGGAGACGAACTGTGCGGATCCAAGGGATCAGAACAGCAGGGACCTCACCCTTGGTGCGTAAGGGGAAGACCGTGGTGTAACGCGAGTAGTCGTCGACAACCAGCAAAAAGTACCGCTCACCGCCCTGGCCACGAACGCGGGCTGGGCCCCACACGTCCAGGTGGAGGGTCTGCAGAGGAGCCTCTGTCGGGGGGAACGAGGAGGAGTGAGGAGCGGCGCGCTGCCGCCCCTCGACGCAAGGAAGGCAGGGCGGCGCAGGCGAGGCAGGGAGGGGAGGGAGGGACCTGGGAAGACCAGACACAAGGTGGCGACGGTGCATGCCACGGAGGCGTGGCAAGGAGGGGTGACCCAGGCGGTGGTGCCAGAGAAGAGTCTGGTGCGACAGGGAACGACACTCACAGGCGTGGGCTACCAGACCTGACGCGGACACCTGACCGACAGCAGCGACCTGAGGAGACGCAGTGGTCAGTGTGTAGAGACTCGATCCCGGCTGACGGGTAAACGTAGCCAGGTGACGGCCGGTCCTGGAGCACGTGAGGATCGCCACACGCTGTCCTCCAGGGGTGAAGGTGTCAACCCACTGATCCTGGATGACAGCGTTGCTCACCAGGTTCGTCGAGAAC